AAGAGAATGCGTAATGCAAACGAACAAACAGAAATATGTTATATACAAAAAGATAGTGTTTTAATACAGGTCAGTGAGGATGATGAAACGTTTCTCAAGCAAATTAAACCATTCATTGATAGATAAATTGTGAAAAGAAAAAAACAATACAATGAGATTTATAGAATAGGTGGTGCTAACAATTAATTATTATAAATCTTACGAAAATAATATACATATACATATATGTATATATAAATATGTACAAAATTGAAATTTCTACAACATACCACCATAGACAACGTTACAAACAAATTAGTGATTATGTAAAAAGAGAATAAAGAAAATCATGCCGTCGATGAAACTTTAATATGAAATATAAATGTACAGAAGTCAAAATTTAACAGTTATTGCGAAAAATAACACATAAATTATACTTCGGATATAATATATCAAATGTTTCTCAAGTAGTAGGGAATAATTGACCCCGAAAATAATGATGAATTATTATTTTAGGGAATGTGATTCTAGCGTAAATCGACTATACTTTCAACAAGAAGAATTCATTCATGATATAATCCGATGTAATTATTGAGATCTGAACAATTTCATTATTACAATTTAAAACAAAGTAGGTTTACGTAATTACATTAGAACAGTACGATAAAACTTCAGCCGGAAATCTAAGCATACATCGCTTCCATATAGACAATTAAATATAATCAGTAGATAAGCTGCCATAGGAGTGAGAAAGAGTGAATGACTATCGAAGAAAAAAATCTTTAGTACAAAAATTAGGCATGAGTTGACAAATAAGTCAGTAGATTATTCAACAAATACAGACTTGTTTAAGAAACCTGATGATACTGGTTTTCGTCCCATTCTTTAGGTAAGACATCAGTATTATAAACACATCATAATGCACATTTTGCGAATTTGGCGCAGTAACATCGATTTTTTTTTTTACAGCCAAACGTTGTAAAAAATAGCAAGTCAGGGAACAGGTTAAGTAAGATTAGTAATCTGGATCAGATGGTTCAGATTCGTCTGCTGAATCACTTTCTTCACCACTAGAACTGGTCGCCATCTAGGTTTTAAAAAAACATTAGGAATACAAGTTGAGGACAAGAATTAAATTTATTAACTACTGAATAGTTTTAAGTTAAAATATCTGATCAAAACAATCAAGTCATAATACTTTATGTTTTTTTCAAGTGTAGAACTCTTTGCTTAACAGATATTTATTGACTTTTTTCTTGAGAACACTGTATACTTAAGTTTCACAATGTTTGTAGAAGAAAGAAAAAGGAGTCCTTACAAGGAATGGGATTAACTAGGTTAAATATTGCGTAACTTGTTGCTATGATGCATACTATTAGTATATATCTACAGCACAGAAACACCTTATAAATTAAGGTGTAACTAAAAAGAAAATACAACTCGAGCTAGTAGACTGCGCAGAAGAATTTGGCGTGTTTACAATAAGATCATCTATTGTATTTGGTTTAGATTTTTCGAGCGCACATTTGTGTTCTTCTCTACCAACACAAGGCAGAGTTTGCAAAATTATGTATCGTAAAAATACAGTTGTATAGAAGATACATTTTCAATAGAACATATGATACCCTGTTTACTGATTTAAACATTAAAATGAAAGGATTATTTGAAGAATTATTCCTTAGCAACTTTCATGAAAGAAAAATCAAAGCTTATTAAAAAGAATCTCAATTACTATGCATCGTTTTCGACGTTTGCGCTTATTCTTTGCATTTCGACCTAACGGATTTTTCGAATTGCCACGTAGATTGAGAGCTGGTTTGCGTTTTTTTGTAGGAGCTGATTGTGCCAACATAAGTCGAGAAGCACCACCTGCCTAGAAATCAAAATGAAAGCAAACGCAGTTATTATATTTTCTTAATAATTTGTTTTAATGAAGTGAAATAACCACACACAATATATTTACCATACGTTAATACAACACATAACTAAATGTACATATTTTATCACAAATTAAGACAAGTTAAATATGAGATGTAGCTCTTATTATATGAATGAGAATGAAAAACAAATGCATTGAAGGAAGAATATAAAAAATCACTAACATTTGAATCTTCTGAATCATTGTCATCTTCCGAAGATTTATTGTGCAATTGCGGTACTAGCGTTCTTACAGATCGACCTTTACTCAACTGCGTACTATCTGGAAGTACAAAAAGTGGTTAATAACTTGGCTTAAAGTATAAGTTGATGATATATTTAAATCAATAACAGTAAAAGTAACTTATTAATTAAGTACAGACATAAAAATTTGAATGAATATAAGTAAGCAGAATTATAAATGCTACCTGAAACTGTATTTAATCGATCATCAACAATAGGCCCACTGGACTGCACTGAAGTATTCAAGTCATCAGGTCCTAGTTCTTCTTCTCCTGGAGGATCAATCGTAAGAATTAACTTCCGGAAGTCTAAGTAATCTCGGATGAGAGATTGCATTTCACTTATCGTTTCTTCTTCACTATCTGCTTGCTTGACATTAGGATTAGACAACTCCACACTATTATGATCTGTTCTAACTGATGATTGCGAATTGCATAGGATATGCGAATCAGACTTATTGATCTCTATTCCGGAAGCTTTCAAACAAGGTATTGGATGAAAATGAACACCGACACGTCGTGTTAACGGCTTCTCCCATAATTTGGCTGAATCAGAAGGTGAGTAACGTTGGATTTTACTGTAATAGAAGGGAAGAAATTTGGAAATGAAACGTCAAGTTTATATATATAAACCATTATCCATTATAAATGTGAGGTGACAACGGAAATAAAGTCATATTTGACTATAACAACCCGTAAGCATGAGATCGTAATCCAACGAAACCGGTACAACTCCTAATCAAAAGAGAATACATGTATGTCTGAAAAAGACGAAATGTGGGGATGAGTTTGGATATGAAAAGTAGTATTTTGAATTCCAGATCATTTGCTTCTTAGATTATCTCTAGGTGAAAAATATAAATCAACAAGTATCAACAATAAATTGAATGGTACTTTCAGCAGAAAAATATTGAAGACAGATATTTATAGTACACCACACCATCTCAATAAGTAGGTTCGCAAACGTTAGATAAATTTAGAAATACTTTGTTCTTGACTTTGATCATAAAATTATTTCTATAACTGTGCACGTAGAGTCAGTCACAGATGATAGAAACCAGATCATTTCCTGCTTTTATTTAAGGGCGTAGTTTGACTATGGTAAAATTATGCGCATTGTGATTAACAGGCAGTCATATCCCCAAATGCCCTGGTACAGCCGAGAGTGGGAAGAATCCACTCTCCCTTTCGAAATGCTCTCACATAGCCACGCGTATAAAACCACTGTCAGGGAATTCCTACTCACTGCCTTCTGACAGCAGGGGTGTTGTTTACGAAATTGAGGGGACGAAAAGAAAATGTCCGGGTTGATGGATATGGAGGACCCACTTAGGTCGGCTGGAAACCCCTGATTCCAAACCAATGGTGCATATGGGCTACAGGAACCTGTGGGAAAAAAAGGAGTATGAGCCTTTTGTTGGTCACCGGCTACCATGGGACTGAATCTTCTAACGTTGCTCCACTGCCTTGTGGATTAGATTTCTAGGTCAAGGACTCGGGGAGTGGTCCGCTGGGAAAACCACCTGCTTCAGTTTGAGCACCGGGGCAGTATCGCAACCCTCACATAAACCAACTAAATGTGGCGCAAATCTATTTTGTGCCTCCTTATACTAGTGTTTATGTGTTTAAATAAATGAATGTTAACTAGTTCAGCTGATAAAGAATTGAAATACAAGCTCCTTTACTGAGAGAATTCTACGTAAGACATTAGCATTCCTAATCTGGTCGATGAAACATTTTATACAGATTTACAACCAAACATCTGTAACTACTTCTTAACTTCGAATGACCACAGTATTACTTTTTTGAGTTGACTTTTGAATAATAAAACTAGTTTTGCTAAAAGGTTTTTACAAGACTCTTTTGAGTAATCTGTATGTACTAAAAATTATGATTCTTAGCACATAAAAATGAAGCTGTGAGGAACCGACAATTGTATCATGATCAATATTGATGATTTCAAAATGGTAACGACTTAGGACATTTCATTGTGTGGAAATAATTTTATTTTCTCTACTCGATAATTTGTAATTCAATATTTACTTACATCATGCAAAGTGATTCATTTTAGCTTTCTTTATGCAAGGTTTATTTGCTATTCAAGCAACTTTTTGCAGTAAAATGTTAATGCCATAGCTTTCATAAAATTGATTCTGAAAACAGAAACTAACGATTTCCGGTAAATATCATATATACAGAATATTAATCCTTTTTACATTCAAACATGAGATCATTAAACCTAAAATGACTTACCCGTCAGTGATCGAATAAGATTCTTTTAGAAATTGTTTGAGTGTCAACAATAAAACACAAGCGCGACTGGTACGGATTGCGTCGCGAACTATTGGTAAAGATGTTTGGCGAGTCTTAGACAATCTATCAAATAATGCAATCGGATCCTCTTCCTCTTCTATTTCGAAAGGACCCAAATCAACTCGAGAAACACCTATGAGAGGAATAGAAAATGGTTTGAAAATCAGAAAAAAATAAATAGTTATTAAGTCACTTGAACCTTGTGACTTTATGTCCGGCTTTTTATCACGTGACCTATCCACCAATCAAAATACGACTTATACAATCTTAGCACTGTGCCAAACCAATGACGATCGAGCGGTATGAGCAGCCTAGCGTCCTCATTGGTCCTATGTCCGCCTAGCCCGTCCACTTGAATCCAGAACACTAATACCAGCTTCCACTATGAGAATTGAGTCATTTATTTCAGACATACTGGGTTTATATATCAGTCAAACAGACCGCAACGCACCATAAAATAGGAAATGACATTTGTACACAATAAAGCCGAAAAGTGGCTGTGAACGTGGGAGGCAGCAGTTATTAAACTGAACATAGCTTAAGAACAGTAAATCGTACAATAATAAATTATAGTTTGAAATATTCCCATATTGTAAATTTAGAACAACATAGACATAAGCGAACAATATTGTTTTCGATTAGATCCTCATCAGGCTTTACTCTAATATACAGTAATATTTACATGCGAGGTAGTTTATAAGTCAACGATAACAATGAAAACGATTACATAATAAGTGAAACGTGAAAAGTACAAATTGATGGTGTGACAACAGGTGCATTAGTTTTGATAAGAATAATAAAGGTTCAAACCAATGTTACATAATCGGAAATAGGTCAATGATTAGGAAAATATAGACAGTGAGATAACAATTATACAATTATAAGATGACGTAATAAGAAATGTTCAGATAATTGGACCACGAAACGTATAGTTGAGATAAAATAAAGTGGTAGGAGGGTGTGAAGAGAAAGTTAGAAAAGGAATAAATAAATAAATAAATTCATTTATTACTTAAGGCCAAGAGAGAGATAAGGGAGTTACAAATTTCTTCTGAACACAAAGACTTGGCTTGTTGGCTCGGATTCCTATAGCTTCTGCTATGTGTAAGAGACGAGATCGAACACCATAAGGAAAACTAGTGGGAATCCGGTAAATAACTTTGAACGACTTGTTTCTGTCCACTACATGACCGCTATTGATCAAGTGTGATAGGACCGAGCTGCGTATTGTTTTGACGTAACCTTTTCCTAACCACGAAGGGAGGTGTTCACTAACTCGTTGGTTCGGTTGCCTGGTAGTGCGCCCAATATAGCTTTCTCCACAGGAGGAGCTGAATTTGTAGATACACATAGAAGTGGCATAACCAGGTAACTTATCCTTCAATTGTGGAATCACCATCGACCGGGTTGAATACGATAGGCAGAGGTTGGCAGCATTAAATGTTCTCTTTACTACTCCAGTCAAGCTATCCCGTAATACATCGCTAGCTAAATCACAATTGAATTGCAGCTTTAAGAAAAGCGGTTTCTTATTAGCCGTCAGAGTCACAATTTTCTTGTTTTGTACCCGCAAGTGTTTCTTCAGGAAACCCAGTGGATATCCCAATTCAATCAAAATATTATGAATGTGTTGTAATTCCCTATCAATTGTGTCGACTGAGCATATCTTAAGAGCTCTAATTGCAAGACATTTGACTAAGTTTCTCTTAAAATGAAGAGGCACAAAGCTTAAAAAATGTGTGTATTGGCTTGGAGAAGAACCTTTTCTATACACACCTCTGCTGATAGAACCATTTTCTTTTCTACTTAAGAAAACGTCCAGGAAATTTAGTTTGTTATCTATTTCCTCTTCACATGTAAATTTAATAGCAGGATGTTTGTTATTAAATAGTTCCAGTAGTTGTTCTTTTCTAATGTTCTGATCGGCAATGATGGTGTCATCAACGTAACGACAGTAGAAGTCCAGTTTATTGATAACCTCTTTGAGAGGTCCGTTTTCTAGTTTCGCCAGAAAAAAATCCGCAAGGATGGGACCTAGTGGTGAACCCATCGCTATACCATAAATTTGTCTATAATATGTGTTATTAAAGACAAAATGGACATTCATTGTGCATTTTAGAAGTAATTCTTTAAAACTAACCTCAGGAATTCCAATATTGATTTGTTTTTCCTGCAGTTGTTGGCACACAAAAACCGATAGTCTCTGTTAACGGTACATTGGTGAACAGGGAAGCAACATCTAAAGATATCATTCGTTTACCATTTAAATTGAACCTTTATTATTCTTATCAAAACTAATGCACCTGTTGTCACACCATCAATTTGTACTTTTCACGTTTCACTTATTATGTAATCGTTTTCATTGTTATCGTTGACTTATAAACTACCTTGATTGGTTTAATAATTTCATATATGCATATAAATATTACTGTATATTAGAGTAAAGCCTGATAAGGATCTAATCGAAAACAATATTGTTCGCTTATGTCTATGTTGTTCTAAATAAATTATAGGTCAAAACAAAGCTTATAACAAGGGGAATATGGATATGCATAATCTAGTTACTAAATATTTATACCATGAGAATATATAAATAATATTAGTCCATTAATAGGTCTCAGAGGTTACTCGTAATCTTCACTAGGATATAACAAACCTAATTTATAATTTTGTCAATAGTAAACATTGGAGATGACAGCTGATAATTGGTAATTTAAAATAAATAAAAAAACACTTACCCTCTATTCCAATGAAAGCCCCAGAAGGGAATTCAGACAGAGATGCGTTACTGGACATAATAGAAGGATCGGAGGAATTTAAACTGTTTATTCTTTGAATAGTGTGTTGAATTTGATCTGCAATCAATCCAGCTGTTTCATGATCACCTCTACTAATTGCATCAGCTGAGGCAACTTGTTGGGCCTGAAGTTCAGCACTCAATTGCAGCTCCATTTGTGCACGGTTTTTCGCATCTGTCTCAAGTTGGGCAGCAACAACAGCCTCTAGAGCTGCTTTTAGTTCTGGAAAAAGTGCCTCACGAATATTTTTCAAAACTCCCGAACCAGCCATACTAACCATCAAGTCTATATGATGCACAACAAACAGAGGTTCCTCTTGCGATTGATAAGGAAAATGAGCCAGATTATCAGCAACATATACTAACTGACTGAGAGGAATCTTCTATAATAAAAAGGAAGTCAATTAGATTCTGAACGTATTGTTAAACATTCCTACAATGAAAATCAAAACAAATTGTCTACCACAATAAAACAGACTAAAATACAAATGCATTGGTAATATATATTTGTTTTAGCCAGGACCTTGATAACTGACAGTGCAGTTATATGACAACGTAAGATCTAATTTTCCAGATGACAGATAATCATACTGCAAATGAATCTGATGAAAAACTGAGGAAATGTGGAACAAAGAGAAATTTGTAAAGTGAAGACCAATGGCGTATAAACGAACATAGTCTGTTATTCCCATAAACACAATGCAACTTTTCTACATGTACATGAGTTGAACTCAGGAAATGACTTCAAAATCCACATCCACCCAGGAAAGAAAATCGAGTAATAGTTTTACAACTCACTTTGAAAATTAATAAAATACAGTTCATGATTAGTGGATATCAAGAGATTTTTCGCAAAAGCTCTTTTAAACAACTAACATAATGTTTAAGAATCAGTTGCTTGAAGTGGATAGACTAATGTCAATTTTAAAAGTTACAAATGACGAAAGTAGCAAACAATTACATAAAATAAATAAGTACGAACCTGTGAGTCATCGAATAATGATATTAGGCCATTAAGTAGAGAACGGCGTTGACTTTTATTGTTTCTAAGCATCGAATATAGATGCGAATTCATAGCAGAAGGAACTTCACTGAAAGGATCTCTAGTACCGCGAATAGCACCAAAAGAATCTTCTGGAATATTGAGAAGTGACTGAGATTCGGAAACATTTGTAGATGGTGAACACTTAAGATTATCATCTGAGCCCAAACAATCAACCTCAGATCTATTACGGGTAGTTCGACGAGTAGCATTAATAGAATGAGTTGACTTGTGAAAATTTGAAGATTCAGGTGAACCTATTTGCTGAAGAGAAGGTCCCTCAGAAGTACCCTTCAGTTTTTCACGTAACTCATTATATAAAACAAGCTGAAGGCGATATGATAAGTTGACACCTTGTGCAGCTCGCATCTGTGAAAAGTTAAGTAAAATTAGTATAGTTATAACAAGCATACGGGAAAAATAAGCAAATCAAGACATCGTACTTACTGTCAGAAAACCTGGAAATTTGGTGTCTATTTCCTGGAGTTGAGCATCAGCTTTAATACGAATATTTGGATCAATATCGGACTGCATAGCTATCAAGTAGGGTACAGTTTGGACTGGATGAACAAGACCTTGACGAAGAATTGTAGTTATGACAGAAAGGGCAGTAAGTCTCACCGTAAAAAATGGCGAAAAAAATGATTCTAGTATATCTTTGAGATACATTTGCGCAACTGAACTACCCATACCTGAAGCGATATCGCCCATTTCTTTTAATGATTCTTGATGTTGACTAGCCTTCCCTGCAACAAAGAAATCAATATAATTTTATCACAAAGATTCTGAATTATTGAGGCACAAAGTTAGGGGCAATATGACCGAATGGCCCATTCGCAGAATTAAAAAGATTACAACGTTACACAGATTGTGATGGACGAAAATAACCTCAAGAATATATGAGTGAAAAATAACTCGAAGAGTTGAATATTTCATAATTGTCAAGTACACAAATCTAAATCTGATAAATGGAGTAAATTAAATAAGTACTGATTTGTCTAGAACTTGGATGTAGTTTTGGTTTTAGCAATTTTGGCAAATCTAACTCCTCGTCCTAATCACCTTTAGTCATCCAGTAACACTAACTTGCTGTTAGTCCTATTGAAGTATTTAATTATCATATCTACGGAGATAGCAAGTACATTCATATATAAAAAATGTAGTTCAATTTCGTCTACTTTACTAAACTGATAACCATCTTGGTTGAAAATTTCTGACTTACTGAATAGAGAGGAATAGGAGGGTGACTGATGGACTTGATGTACCAGATAATATTGAGGATTAGATATAAAGTTGTCCGACAAAGTAATTACAAAGTCTTTCAAGTGTTGTTTGATTTCAATTCATGTTCACGGCTTATCTGCACAAAATTCACAGTATCATCTTAAATTTACTGAGGGTTGGCATAAGATATGAAGTAATTAAATTGTCAATTAAATCAACAATAGGCATATCTATGTCTGTAGGTTATTCTCAATTAAAGATCAACAGTAAACAATACAGTGGTCAGTTAACGACTTCTTTTATTCATGAAATTGTTACGACGGAAAATATCTGTGTTATAGCTTAGGATGAATGAAGAAACTGTCCAAGATGGTGAACTGTAGAGACAAATATTTTTCTTTATCAAATAATAGAAAATTGGTTTATAAAACCAGATCATAAACATCCAAAAATAATACATGTTTACCACATTTTTACACAGCCGAAACAAGTTTTGAAATGACTACAAAAATGTCTAAATGGAGCGCAAAAAAATTATTACTTACATTTTGCATCCGCTTCTAGCATGCGTTTTTCTTCCTCAAGAAAAAAGTTTAACAAATTTTCCAGCACAATACACTTTAATTCTAAGTGATGGTCAGATGATTTAGGTTTTGCCTCATCACAAGGAGCTTGTAAAAGATCATGGTAAAATTTACAAAGACGAGGACCGCAAAGTAGTTCGTGATGACGAGTACACAAAAAACCTAATCCTGATAAAGCTTTCTTACGCATTTCGATGTCTGATTTAACTTGTTCTGTGAAAAACATAAGTGTTTCAAATACCTGATCACGAATATTCGCCTACATAGAAAAAAAAAACAATTTTAAAGATATTATTCTACATTACTTAATTCATTTATAAATATGAAATTACAGATAAAAAATAAAGCATAAAAATTCCAAACTATAAAGTCAACCAAAATACTTCCGATGAAAAAACACTACATACACTACTTAATAACTCACATTTTTGCTTGATCGAAATACATCCGCATCAAAGTGTTTGCAAAGTAAACCGACAGTAAATAGAGCCCGAAGAATAGAAGGTCGAATAGTTGGGGATATTTTGCGTTCAGAATCATTGGACAATTCACTACGAAATTTCTGAAGAGCGTTGAAAAACCGAGTGAAACAATCTCTAGCTAGAGAATAGTTTTTCGAAACACGATTGACAACTGCACCTAAACACGCAACACATGACTCAAGTACCATTTTTCCATGTCGCAGAGTTAGACGAACCATATCCTCTTCAAGTTGTGCAACTAGTGTCTCACTAGGATGTTCCATCAAAGGCAACGTGGCTTCTAGAATTCTAGCAACATAATGCAACACATGGGCATCTGATGCTTCATTACAACGAATGGACAAATAGGGTTGTAGTACCATTGTATACTGAACCATTAGTTCCGGTCTGATTTTTGTTAATAAATGAAGTGTTGCCAAGCACGCTACTAATCTCTGATTGCTTTGACTTGAAATTTCTGAAATACCAAAAAGATACGCAGAAAATTATAAACAATGTCGTACTTTTCGAAAAGACTAGTAATTAATACGCTTTCTTTTGTGAATATTATCTTAATTAGACTTTTAGTCAGATAACAGCTTATTCTTCAACAACATTTAGTGAGTAACTTTGAGTCAAATGAAATATTAGTGACTTGATTCATGGTTCTGAAATTCAGATTTGTTCCACCAAATAAAAAAGTGAACGATAAATTTAATCCACTGTTAAAAATGGATTATTAAGGAAAATAATAGAGAATTAGACACTGTTCCTGTATCGCTAAGTAAACTGCTATCCGGCACAAAAATACATAGCTGTGAAACACTTGTGAGTAATAACAAGCCGATAACAGTCACTGACAAAAATATATCATAAATATATTTCTGAAAAACAAACAGTGAAAATCGACAAATAGTTAAGGAAACCCAATATTCAAATAAATATAAGACACTTTCGTAATTAGATTGGGGAGGATGCTAAGAAAATCTTACATTCGTTTCTAACAGGTGATCGAGAAAAAAACTGCCATTGTGGGTATTCATGGGCAATGACAAAATATAGTAAGAAGATAAACCGAGACGCAATTTAATAAGAGGAAATAAATGGTGGGTGACAAAATGGTCAACAATTAGAATTCAAAGAGATTATTTTCAATCACTGTAATAAATGTTGAGTAGTATCACTAATAATTTTTAACTACTGATTTAGAATATATCTAGGATTACAACCAGGCAATCCACAGTTAGAAGTTACAACACATTTTGATTTAGCCACTACCAATCTAGTGCTTTCCAACAATTCATAGATTATAAAACCCAGGACGACATAAAATAGCGATATGTTTTGATTGGATCATTTCTAGACGTTTTCTAATATACTGTTATCCTAGACAGCA